GTCTCGCGTCAAGCGAATCTTGTACGTTAAAAGTTCTGTTACATGCTTTATTGTGGTAACTAAGCTGAAATTTAACCGTAAATGTGCAAAGTTTGAACCGCCCTTATAGGCCACGGTATAGCCCTACAGGCCACGTATCCTTAGAGGCCACGATATAGCCCTAGACGCCACGGCATAGCCCCACTTGGCAAATCTGAAGGCCAAAACTTTGGTTTTCTCATACGCTTGTGAGCTTGCCTCCACTCCAACATCAACCAGGCAGCCTCAATCGTTCTAGCGCGCAACCTAGGCGTTAGTAATCTTGGTCTCATATGCGTAATTTCCGCAACATTGAACGCTACCCTCTTTACCCACGGCCCTCGTCCCCCCTGAACGTTCCCTCCCCGCCCACTCACTCGGTGCCTTTCATCCGCAGAATGCGGAACTGCTCCGGCGACAGGATCGCGCGCCATTCCTCCTCGCTCTTCACCACCGCCATCGGCGCGGCCTCTCCGCCTCCCCCGCTTGCCTGCGCGCTGCCGGGCCGCGCCCACGACGACGCGACGACGACGCCCAGCAATACCGACCTCACTGCCCTCGCCCTACCGACGGCTGCCACGTGTCCCGGTGATCGCAACGCCAGGGGAAGACTACGATTTCGGCCTAATTGCTTGTTTGCGAGAAGCGAGGATGCAGAGCGAGGCGCCGAGAGCAGGGAGGCTGTGGTGGCCATGAAAAGGCTAGGAGCTGGAATTTATGCACGATGGCGGTGATGACGGATGCTTGTGGAACACGGACACAGATAGATGACTGAGGATTCCGAGATGCTGAGCCGCAGGGAAGTAGAGAGATGTGGACGGACCCGCAACAGTGGAGGAATTGGAAGAATCGCAAGTGAGCTAAGAAAGCGGTAATTGAAGGTGGAAGGAAGGTGAGGCCGAGGAGAATCCGAACTCGCTATTGCACTCTCCGTTTATCTCAAATGAAAAAATATCAGAAAGGGCTCCGGATTAGCCGTACATTGGCTGAATTGGGGCCTAGTGATTCGCGCCCCTACTACGTAGCCCCGAAGCAACCAATACACCTGGGCAGTTAGGCCGAGCCTGGCCTTCTCGCCAGGTCACCACCTACTGGCCTGGGATTGACGGAATTCGCTAGTGAACCGTCATCGAGAGCTACCCGGAAAAACATTCGTTTAACCCCAAATATTCAAATATTCGCAATGGTACAAAAAATAAACCCCATTCGGATGGCATATAATTGGGGAAGCATCAACCCTAAACACCGTGCGGCAAGATGTTTAGGGCTGAGGCCCCTTCGAAGGCATGACGCAGGAGAGGAAATTTCGTCAATTATTGTATGTCTAGTCAAAAAATTCTTTGTCGTCACCTTGTGTGGTTAGGTCTGACGGAGCGCGTGAATGAGGCTCGAAATTGGCTGGGTACAGGTCCGGCCCAGGCTCTCTTTGCGAAACATAAAGCCCCAAGTCGGAGACTTCTCTAGAGTTCTGGGGCCTCAATCTGATAATCTCCCTATTTTAAATACCACATTGGACCTACTTGGTCGACGTGGCAATCATAGGACCTTCTTCAACGACGTGGCAGGCTTCACAAACTGCCATCTCGACTTCCAAAACAGAACCCGAGTTTTACCTCGCTGAAGCCAGCTTCGCTTGTATCCTCATGATGTACACGTTATATTTTTCAACGCCAAGGAATCCAACCTAGATTGCATCAAACCCATCACATTCCCAGGCGCTGAATGTTCAGATGAACTCCCTGCCAGCTTGCTCGTGACAAACGTGTCATCTGCTCGCCCGCAATCCCACAACACCTTTCGACGCGCCGAGACGCGAGACCTGCGCATGCATGGCGGCAGCAGCCATGGCTGGATGGACCTCCGACGCGCCACGGAAGCGTCGTTACTCTGTCGGCGAGCTACTATCATCGGCATCCTCGTGCTCCTGTTCTCCACGCGCGCGTTATCTGCTCACTTTCTCCCGGCGCTCTCCCTTCGCGTTCTCGCCGCGCTCTCTCCGCGCCCAGTCTTTCCGCCGCTAGACTTTCTTCCGCCAGTCAGTCGTCTAGCAGCGCCCGCCGCTCGCCGCGTGTGACCGTTGCCTCCACCTCATCCTCCCCCTCGTCCTCTTTCGGTCACTTCGTCTGCTCCCTTTTCGCTCGCTCGTTTCAGCGTTCCCGATTGATAAGCAGCCGCCCTTCGCGTGGTTAGATTCTTCCAAAGCGGCACCACTATGACGTTCTTCATGTTCGCGCTAAACGACCGTCTCGTCTGCCATGTCATACCACTTCTTGCTGCCGTGTCGCTCGCCCAGTGGATGCTGGCGTGCCACGTCAGCGCGCAGCCTGGGCCAATCACGTTCCGCGTTGACCCGAGAAGGTCAAATCTGACGTGGGACTCGGAGATCCCGCCGAAAGAAGGGCAGCTCGCATCGGTTGTCGTTACCCCGGGAGGCTTCCCACTGGCGGGCACTGTAACGGTGGATGTGATCGAGTGCACGGATATAAGAACGTCCTTTAATATCACCCTGGTGAGCTTCGTGTGACTTAGGCGAGGGAGTGACTGCAGCAGCTGATCTCAGCAGCCCGCGAAATGGCGAAAGTGGATTCACCGCTTCCTTCTTTCATCACCCTTTCAGCACCCGCATAGTTCCGTCCCACTCCTCCTTACTTCCCCTCACCCTCCGCACTCGAAGTCCCCCACCATTTCCCCTCCTCCCCCCCTCCCCCCGTCCCCTTCCCCCGCGCCCCGTCCCCCCCCCACCCCACAGGCGCGCATCAGCAACACGTCGCTGACGGGCATCACTCCAGCGGGTCGACCAGCGGCGGCGTCCATTGTGGCGCAGGCCAACGCCACTGGCACCATCGCTGCCTTCGCACCCACCCTCAACCTCTCCAGTGCGCACCCTCCCCCTCCGCCTCAGTCTTTGTGTCAATCCCGTGCATTTCTCCCTCTCCCTCCTCTCTCTCCCCTCCTCCGCTTTTCTCCCTGTCTCCTCCCGCTCTCTGTCTGCTCCCTCTCTTTCCTTATCCCACTTTTTGCTCTCACCAGTATCTACCATCTTTCACTGTCCCCTTGCATCTTAACGCCCCCGTCTCTCCTTCTTGCTAACCCCCCCTCCCATTCTCCTCATGCCGAGCCTAATCAGCCTCGGACGTGCCGCCATTCGCCATCGACCAGACGTACGGCTCCTTCCAGTCCGCGTGGACCGTGCCCACTGCCACGTGGGGCGCTGTGAGAGGCTTTTTCGCCCCCAGCAGGGACTTTGGCGGCGGCCCCTTTTCTGCTAGCAACCTGACGGCCCCCCTCGCCTCCTTTGGCTTCGTTGATGGGCACCTGAGCACTGTGAGTGGGACACCTGATCACCGTAAGGTACCTCACCAGACACCTGAGCATTGTGAGAGAGACACCTGAGCATTGTGAGAGAGACACCTGAGCATTGTGAGAGAGACACCTGAGCACTGTGAGAGAGACACCTGAGCATTGTGAGAGAGACACCTGAGCACTGTGAGAGAGACACCTGAGCACTGTGAGAGAGACACCTGAGCACTGTGAGTGAGACACCTGAGCACTGTGAGTGAGACACCTGAGTTCAGAATGGGCGTGCGAGGCTATCAGTTGTGCTGGTCAAGGAATTAGTCGTTCCTTTCATGCCGCCTTCATTGCACCCCACCCACCCTTCCTGGATTGGCCCTTGTGGTCCCCATCCCATTCCCTCTCCCTCTCGCCCCCTCTCCCCCCCTCTCTCCCCTGTGCCCTCTCTCCTGTGCATTCCACCACCTCTCCCCGGACCCCCATGCAGGTAGCAGCGAACCAGTCGCAGGTGCACCTCTTCATCAACTCCACTGCCGTCTTCACTGCCCGGTGCGCAAGGGGGGGGGGGGAAGAGAGGCAGGGCGGGAGGGCAGGGGAAGAGAGGACGGGGGAGAGAGGCGGAGAGATGGGGAGGAGGGCAAGAAAGCAAACAAAGGAAGTGGTGGAGGAGGAGGGGGAGTGCTTGCATGTTGTCCTCTGTACTCATGCAGACGTACAACAGGCAGGTGCTGTTGTTGAGCCCCAGTGCATTATCCTCATCATGCATCAATATTGCAGCACGCATGTTGACATCCGCTCACCGCTCCCCTCTTGCCCTTGGTTTTACCCCCTCCGTTTTGCCCTCCCGTGCACCCAAGGCAGGCAGCTGCTGCTGACGGCCAATGCATCGGCGTCCATAATGAACATAGTGATGGGGCAGGGCCACGTGCGCATGCGCATCCTCCTCACCGGCAAAGCGGATAACCCCTGTGCCGTCGCCCCCACGCCTCCCTCACCGCACTCGCGGCCGTAACTTCTCTTGACTTGCCTTGACTGCTTTGACCCGCACCAGCTTGGTTTCTGTAGTGAGGGAGTTGTCTGCTGCTTTGGCCTAGCAGCATTCTCATTGGTTTTTGTTGCACTGAAGGAGAAAGGGTTGTTGCAGCACTGGTGCATGTGAAGAAACTACATACCGTACAGGGTGGCTGTTCACTGATGCTCATCATCTTGCTCCGGCTTGGAGACAGATCATGTTGTTTATGTTCCTTCTAGTACCAGTGCAACAGCGGCATGCATTTGCAGCATTAGTGGACGACGTAGCTACGCTGTACTGTGCAAGAAGCTCGCCACGCTAGCTTGATAGTTGCGAACATAACCACTAGTTTGTATGTACAAGTGTGATTGTATTGCAAGATTTTCAGTTCCAACCAACTTACCGATACCAGTCATTTAGATATGGCAGCTAGAGAATAGGATAGGATACTACGTATATGTTGACCACGTGCGCCTACAACAATTAAGTATAACTTGCCATTTGGTTGATAACTTAGCACATTTACACGCCTGGTTCACCACCAGGCAAACCATTCCATTTACCGATAACAAGATATGTACAACGAATCAGACAACAAGAACGGTGCCAGCAGCATGCATAACCGTATGTACACAAACATGTGCAGATCACGGCCTCCCTCCCTCCCAAGCACGCACTACCCCGTCTGAGCAGGGTCGAGTGGAGCGAGGTCGGCCTTGGCGGGGCCGTTGATGCAGCGGCCGCGGTGGTCGAACTGCGAGCCGTGGCACGGGCAGTCAAACGTGGTGTCGTTGGGGTTCCAGTGCACGCTGCATCCCATGTGCGGACATGTCGCTGGGGGGAGGGAACGAGGGGCCGGGAGGGGAAGAGGAGAGAGAAAGCCACGTGACTTTTGAGACACCTAGAACACTGTCGTTAGGGTTCCAGTGCACGTTGCACCCCATGTGGGGGCATGTTGCTGGGGGGAGGGGACGGGAATTCCGAAGGGAGGGAAGAAAAAGAGAGGCAGGTTGTGAAGCACTTAACATTTGATTGCACTTAACATTTGATTGCACGACAGGCATGTGGCAGAGGATGCGTTGTGGGCCCCTAAGGAAGAGCACATGCGCAATGGTGCTTCATGCATAACACCCCCCCTGAAAAACTCACACACCACACTCTCTCGCACCTGCAGCAGAGCACTCCCACAACAGGCCACACACACACACACACAGAGCATGCACCCCCACAGGCAGCACAGACCAGAGAAGGCGTGCACGCAGCCGTCCTTGTCACGGAAAACAGCGGCCTTGCCCCCGCCCATGCGCACCACCGCCCCGCACCCGCGCCCCAGCTCCTCTATCTCCACGCCGTCCGTGCCCACCTGGGGCAAGCGGTCCTTGTACCCCTGCCGTGCGCGGGTGGCGAGAGCACAAGGGGGGGATGGGAAGACTCAGGTCACAGTGAGATGGTTGCACGGATGGACCACAGTGCGCTCCCCCACGCCCCAGCTCCTCTATCTCCACGCCGTCCGTGCCCACCAGGGGCAGCGGTCCTTGTACCCCTGCCGTGCAGGGAGGGGTGGTGGTGGTGGTGGTGGTGGTGGTGGTGGTGGTGGTGGTGGTGAGAGCACAGTTGGAGATGGCAGCACAAACGGAGATGGCAGAGAGGTGGGTGCATGGCCCCACAGTGGGCCCTCCATTCCGCCCCAGTCCTCTACAGCCCTCCATTCCGCCCCAGTCCTCTACAGCCCTCCATTCCGCCCCAGTCCTCTACAGCCCTCCATTCCGCCCCAGTCCTCTACAGCCCTCCATTCCGCCCCAGTCCTCTACAGCCCTCCATTCCGCCCCAGTCCTCTACAGCCCTCCATTCCGCCCCAGTCCTCTACAGCCCTCCATTCCGCCCCAGTCCTCTACAGCCCTCCATTCCGCCCCAGTCCTCTACAGCCCTCCATTCCGCCCCAGTCCTCTACAGCCCTCCATTCCGCCCCAGTCCTCTACAGCCCTCCATTCCGCCCCAGTCCTCTACAGCCCTCCATTCCGCCCCAGTCCTCTACAGCCCTCCATTCCGCCCCAGTCCTCTACAGCCCTCCATTCCGCCCCAGTCCTCTACAGCCCTCCATTCCGCCCCAGTCCTCTACAGCCCTCCATTCCGCCCCAGTCCTCTACAGCCCTCCATTCCGCCCCAGTCCTCTACAGCCCTCCATTCCGCCCCAGTCCTCTACAGCCCTCCATTCCGCCCCAGTCCTCTACAGCCCTCCATTCCGCCCCAGTCCTCTACAGCCCTCCATTCCGCCCCAGTCCTCTACAGCCCTCCATTCCGCCCCAGTCCTCTACAGCCCTCCATTCCGCCCCAGTCCTCTACAGCCACCGTCCACTGTGAGCCGAGCCGCTGTGTGCCACGGGGTCGAGCAGTGCAGTGCAGTGCAGTGCAGTGCAGTGCAGTGCAGTGCAGTGCAGTGCAGTGCAGTGCAGTGCAGTGCATGAGGACGACTCTGGTACCTGAAAGGTGTGGCTGACAACGGAGCCGGCCAGTGACAGTGACTCCTTGGACAGGGGCGGCAGGCGCGATGGCGAGTAGATCTCCACGAACGGATTCGGGCGGCGGCAGATGAGATCGGATATGATCATGGCGGCTATGGTGCCGCCCGTCATGCCCTGCCCACTGTCACCTGCACCATGGTGGGACGGTGGGGTGGGAGGATGGGGTGAGAGAGTGGGGGGAGCAGGGAGGATTGAGTGAGATGGAAAGCGAGCGGCAGGGGCACCTGGGAGAGAGCAGGGAGCTAACATGACAGACCGTTGGTCATGCAGTCGTGGGCATTGCATTCCCATTGGCTCGGCAGACATGGTGCAGCGTACCAGTGGCAATGTAGGTGTTAGTGGAGTCCATGGGGTTGCGGCCGTACAGCCCCAGGAAGTCCACCGGCTCGTACACCTGCCATGCGTGGGTAGCAGCATGGAGAGAGCAGCACAGGACAGCAGGATAAGAGTGCGGCGGGAAGAACAAGGAGGAAATGGCACAGACGGAGCGGATCAGCGGGCGGAGCAGTTGGAAGTCGTGGAGAAATCCCGAGTTGGAAGTCGTGGAGAAATCCCGAGTTGGAAGTCGTGGAGAAATCCCGAGTTGGAAGTCGTGGAGAAATCCCGAGTTGGAAGTCGTGGAGAAATCCCGAGTTGGAAGCCCCACACCAGCCCATGCCATGAAAAAACCACCACCCACCCCTCCCTGTGTACGCACCATGCCACTCCAGCGGAAGAGCGTCTGCTGCGCCATGGGCCAGCGGGGCCGTGCCCAGCGCTCGAGGTCGCCCCACACGTCGTGGTACTGGGTGGCGGGCATGCCCACGGGGTGGTCGCCGCCGCCCACCACGAGCACGTCGCGCCCCTCCTGCTCCTCCACGCGCACGTAGTGGTAGGGGGAAGCTGTGTCCCACCAGTTGGCTCGCCTGCCAGGGGAGGAATGAGGGGAGGACAAAGAAGCAACAGGGCACCGGGAGCATAACATGGAAGACGAATGGCTCCACTACAGTCTTTTGCCCATAACAATACGTGCTCTGTGCCCCACTAACAATACGTGCTCTGTGCCCCACTAACAATACGTGCTCTGTGCCCCACTAACAATACGTGCTCTGTGCCCCACTAACAGCATTCCCAGCCCAGCACACGCCCACATGCCCACATGCCCACACGCACTTGACGGAGCCTTTAGGCAGGTGGAGGCCCACAACATAACTCCTGTCAGCGGGCTGGCGGGCGTGCACGAGGAGGTTGTGGTTGATGGGCGAGTTGGTGGCCAGCACCACCGCCCCCGCTTGCACCTCGCCCCGCCCGTCCTTGCTCGCCACCACCACCCCCGCCCCCGTGCCCGTCACCGACCCCTCCTCGCGGAAGGCGACTGTCTGCTCGAAGATGCACCCCCCGTGCCGTACAAACGCGTCCGCCACCCCGCTCAGATACCTGGTGGGGGGGGAAGGAGAGAGGGAAGGAGACAGCAGGGGGAGGTACACGGGGAGAGAGGGGGGGAGTGCATGGGATTGAAAGGGGTGGGATATAAATGTTGGAGGGATATGGTGGTGTGAGGGTCAGCAGAGGGAGCAGTGAAGAGGACTGACTGACTTGAGCCACACGTGCAGGGCGGGCAGGGCGGGCAGGGCGGGCCGGAAGAAAGGAAGGGAAGGTGCTCCAACAAGGGATATGCAAGCAGGCGCGTACATGAGGGGGTGGAACTCGGCGGTGGAGGGGAAGCAGATGGCCTTGTGCACGGAGCCGAGGGCGGGGTCGCCGTTGAGATCCGCCATGTACACGTCCGTGAACCCCGCCCGCTTGCACGCCTCGTACTCCTGGGGGCAGAGGAGAGGAGAGAGGGGCGAAAAAGACAATGAGGTGATTCCGTGGAGGAAGAAGGTGAGGGTAAGGCAACCGCCAAACCGTGAATCTGGAATATTACACGGCCACCACCATGCAGCTGGTTACCCTACAAGCTAATTACCAGGTGGAGCGTCTCCAGCGTGGACGGCTTGGAGTCGTGTGGGAAGAGGTACCCATCGAGGCGTGAAAACTTGCAGTCGATGCGCTCGCGCGCCACGGTGTCCTCAATGCACGCGATGGCCTGGCGATGCGACTCCGCCACGAGCCCCGTGTTGTCGCGCCCGAAGCTCTTCTCGAGGTTCATATAGAAGTCGTCGTTCCACGCCATTATGTGCGCCGTCGTCCTCCCCGTCTGCCCTGACCCAGCTTCCCATCACCCCACACGCCAAGCGCACATGTGAACAGAATTCAAACATATATTTAGAACCAATTTAGTGTTGCAGCAAAACGGGTGGGGACGGAGTCTGACCAATGCAGCGGCGCTCCAGCAGCACGGTCGACTTCCCCTTGCGCTGTAGCTGGTACGCGATGCTCAGCCCCGCGATCCCGCCGCCAATCACCGCCACGTCAGCGTGCACGTGCGACTCGAGCTTGGGGAAGCGCGGCTTGAGGTCCAGCTGCCCCCACACGGTGCGCCTCAGCCCCGGCAGCGGCTCCGCCTCCTGCTGCTCGCGCTCCGAGTGCGCTGCGGGGCGCATGCCCGCCATGGCTGCAACGGCCCGATGGAACTGGAAAACGGCTTGAGTGAGAGTGGCGGGCGAATGGCTCGGACTAGTGGCCGCGCGGAATGAGTCCTGGATTGTACTACTCGTAGGAACCGGCTGTTGCTCGCGCTGCGATGGCTTCTGGATGAACGGGAATGCGGATTGCAGATGCGAAATACCGCGCAGGAGCTGCAATGAGGCGGTGTTTGTGGAAGTGAAAGAAGTGCGCGCGAGGGAGGCGCGGCAGGCGGGAAGCAGCACTGCGTGGAGGGCGGCGAGGATTGCACCCGACATAAACGCGCAAAGCTAGTAGCAAGCGTCGATCTGATCGCGCATGTGAAGGTATACGAGGGATGGAAACCACAGGAGGAGATTGTGACAAGCGCGCAGCAGATCGCACATCTGAACGCGGCTGAGGAACAGCATTGAGGGTGACTGAGAGGGGTGGCAGGAGTGCCATTGCGGCGCGGCGGCGAAGTATCACTTCGGAACAAGTTTGCTAAGGAGGGAACGCTAGAGATGGCTAGTTGAGCTGCTTGATCGAGGCGCCTAAGGTAGCTGCGTGAAGGACGTGCTATGTTGGTGTGCATGCGCAATGAGGCGCGATTATGATGACATTTGGCAGAGAGCAAGAGCAAACACAACAGCAAATGCGAACATTCCGTACGCGACATGGATGTGGAGACTCCTCCTGGGAGACATAAAAATGATGAAAATTCTACACCGCATTGCACGAATTTGAATGTACATTTCGGAGCTATTCATGGAGGTGCCTGCATTCATCCCGCCCGAATGCCTTGTGCATGAACTGGCGGAACCTGGGCTGAAACCATGGTGGCGGAGGGCGCACGTCAGGGAAAAGGCCTGGTTGGCTGGTTCTGTTCGTGTCACCCAACTCCAACGGTGACGTGGTACCATGTCTCGCCAAGCCAAGCAATCCTCGCGGGGAAATGAACCTGCTGCTGCCATTTCACAGGTGATCTGGCGGAGATCCCAATGTTCAGAGCGCAATCCCGTTCCCCGCGCACGCCCTTTCTCCCCGATCCAACCGCCCGCCAAGAGCTATAGATTCTGCCTTCGAAATTCGGTTCTGCATTTCACCTCTCCCATTCTCACCCCATCTCGAGATCTCTCCATTTTTTGGTGGGAGCTGTTCCTCCGACCAGCTGGCTGCTTCCTCGCTACGGGGAGGAAGATCTTAGGCGTCGCTATCGCCGCTGTCATCAATATCGCGACCACGGAGTTATTCTGAATCCCACTTAGGCTCTCGCCGTCTCGCATAGGCGACTTCACCGTAACAGATTTACCTCCGTCAGTCACCTGCCATGGCTTCCCGAATTCTCAGCCGCGTCTCGCGGAGACGCCTGTCCGCCGTCGCGGACTCCGCGTTCCCCTCATACGCGCCCACAGGAGCCCTGCGCGCGTTCGGCGGCGTGCGGTGGTTCGCGACGAGCCCCGAGGAGAACGACATCGTCGTCATTGGCGGCGGGCCCGGTGGGTACGTGGCGGCGATCAAAGCGGCGCAGCTGGGCATGAAGGTCACTTGCGTGGAGAAGCGCGGCGCGCTGGGCGGCACGTGCCTGAACGTGGGGTGCATTCCATCCAAGGTAAGCAACGATAACGGGTGGTGGTATCCGCTAGGGTTGTCTACCAGCCGGCGACTGACGGGAATTTCACGGTTGGGAGAATATAAATGTGGGGAGAAATCAAACAAGGGCTATGAGATATGCAGTGGAGGCAGGCCACGATATAGTGTAACGCGCAGATGAATGTAGTGCATCGCCGTTCTCCGTTGTGCCTCCCATCAGCCCAACTTTTCCTCGCTGAAGGCATCTCAAGCTGTCCCGCATTCGCCCCATGCACGCATGCACGCACCTGTGCAACCGTGCACCCGTGTTCCCGTGTAGTCAGGCGACCGTGCTTCCATACGCTGCTCCCATGCACCATGTTCCCATGCACCCATGCTCCCATGCACTATGCTCCCATGCACCCATGCTCCCATGCACTATGCTCCCATGCGCCCATGCTCCCATGCTCTCATGCATCCATGCATCCATGCTCCCATGCACCCATGCATCCATGCTCCCACGTACCCATGCTCCCATGCACCCATGCACCCATGCTCTCATGCACCCATGCATCCATGCTCCCACGCACCCATGCTCCCATGCACCCATGCTCCCATGCACCCATACTCCCATGCACCCATGCTCTCATGCACCACGCATCCATGCTCCCACGCACCCATGCTCCCATGCTCCCATGCTCCCATGCACCCATGCACCCATGCTCTCATGCTCTCATGCACCCATGCTTCATGCTCCCATGCATCCATGCTCCCGTGCACCCGTGCTCCCATGCACCCATGCTCTCATGCACCCGTGCTCTTGTGCACTCATGCTCCCATGCACCCATGCTCTCATGCACCCATGCTCTCATGCACCCGTGCTCTTGTGCACTCATGCTCCCATGCACCCATGCTCTCATGCACCCATGCTCTCATGCACCCGTGCTCTTGTGCACTCATGCTTCCATGCACCCGGGCCCTTCTCTCGTGCACCTATGCAACCATCAATCCGTGCACCGATCTCCCTTTCGCGCTCTCAGTCAAGTGGCCAACCTTTCAGTACTTGGGACTCTGTCGTTCCTCTCTCTTCCCGCTACGCTCCTCCTCCCGTTCCTTCCCATCCCCATGCACTGCAAGGCAAAGCACTCCATGACTGTCCGCCTTACCTTGGCCCCTCGTCCTTACTGCTCCCTTCCTTCCTCCCCACCAGGCGCTACTGGAGTCATCGCACATGTACCACGAGGCGAAGCACTCGTTCGCGGCGCACGGCGTCAAGGTGGCGGGGTTGGAGGTGGACTTACCGGCCATGATGGCGCAGAAGACCGGCGCTGTCGCGGGGCTCACCAAGGGCATTGAGGGGCTGTTCAAGAAGAACAAGGTCACCTATGTGAAAGGCCACGGTAAGATTGTCGGCCCGAACGAGGTGGCTGTGTCCCTGCTGGACTCCCCCGGGGAGACCAAGAGCATTGGCGCCAAGAACATCATCATCGCCACCGGGTCCGACGTGCGCCCGCTGCCGGGGCTGCAGATCGACGAGAAGAAGGTGGTGTCGTCCACGGGCGCGCTGAGCCTGGACGCCGTGCCGAAGAAGCTGGTGGTGGTGGGCGGGGGAGTGATTGGACTGGAGCTGGGGTCGGTGTGGGGGCGGCTGGGCGCGCAGGTGACGGTGGTGGAGTTCATGGACGGCATCGGCGGCTACATGGACAACGAGATCCGCCGCACCTTCCAGCGCACCCTGCAGAAGCAGGGCTTTAAGTTCATGCTCTCCACGAAAGTCGTCTCTGCGGACGCGTCGGGCAACGGCGTGGTGCTGGAGGTAGAGCCGGCCAAGGGCGGCGAGAAAACCAAGCTAGAGGCGGATGTGGTGCTGGTGGCGACGGGGCGCGTGCCGTACACGGACGGGCTGGGACTGGAGGAGGTGGGTGTGCAGAAGGACAAGGCGGGGCGCATCGTGGTGGACGACAAGTTCCGCTCCTCCGTGCCGAGTGTGTTTGCCATCGGGGACGCCATTCCCGGCCCCATGCTGGCGCACAAGGCGGAGGAGGATGGCATTGCGTGCGTGGAGAATCTGGCAGGGAAGCACGGGCATGTGAACTACGCGACGGTGCCCGGGATTATTTACACGCACCCGGAGGTGGCCATGGTGGGTAAGACCGAGGAGGAGGTGAAGGAGTCGGGTGTAGAGTACCGCGTGGGGAAGTTCCCCTTCATGGCAAACAGCCGCGCGCGCACGATTGGGGACTCGGAGGGGATGGTGAAGATCATAGCGGAGAAGGCGACAGATAAGGTGGTGGGCGTGCACATAGTGGGGCCGAGTGCGGGCGAGCTGATCATGGAGTGTGTGTTGGCCATGGAGTATGGCGCCAGCAGTGAGGACATCGCCCGCACGTGCCACGGCCACCCCACGCTCAGTGAGGCTGTCAAGGAGGCAGCGCTGGCCACGCATGGCAAGCCCATCCACATGTGAGGTGGTGCACCTGCGTGTGTGTGTGTGTGTCTTGTGTGCGGGGCGTGTTGAAGCATGTGCAGACAGCCCTTGCTCGTGTGTGGTCTGCTCTCAATTTGGCAGCCCTTTTAGCAGATTCTATTACAGGCTCTACTAGTTCGTGGTTTCATTCCTACAGTGCACTTCGTACATATTCACCACCGCATAACCCGTTGATTCTGTGTTCCAAATACTGTCTAGGTAGGACATTCTACCGTACCTTACAATTTTGTTTTGCTTCTTCAGCATCAACCTGCAGCCTTGGTATTGTCATGTGACATTCATACAGTATGATGCTTCATCATTCATTAAAGAGTATACAGTACTAATACCGCTATCAACACATCAGCCCAACATATGTCAGGACTACAGCTAGCTCTACTGCTTGAAGCTAACGAAGTAAGCCTACCTATCACAAGTTAGCCTTGTCAGGTTATGGTAAGTTAGCGTTATCACAACAAAGCAGTTAGCAATACACCTAACTAGCACAGCAACAAGAGTTAGTGTTAACTCTTTGTGAGCATCAGAAACTTATCAGTCACCACCACCGGTTAGCATATGAGAGTGGGCGATGCAGCAGCAGCGCCACCAGAAGTACCACGAGAGCCATGGGCATGCACCCAGGCCTCCACCTTGTCTGCTGCACTCGGCCCTGCCGCCGCGTGCCATGCTCCATGCCGTGCTGCCCATGCTGGTCGTGCTGCCCGTGCGCCCTGTGCTCCTAGTGCCCCCTGCGCTGCCTGCACTGCTCGCACCGCTCCTGCCCACGGCACAGGCGTGGAGTGCAGTGACTGGGCGTGCGGCAGTGCTGCTGGGCTAGGCAACGCCTCCCCTTCCCTGCTGCCTGTCAACGTTCCACCTGTTGGCCTTATTGCCCCATTCTTGCCCTCCGCTGAATCCTTGCGCATTCGTGATCTCCCACCGTCCACCAGTGTGAGCCATGCCTCCACCCTCTGCCTCGCCTCTCTGGGTGCGTCCCTGCCTGCCTCCCTGCTCGCTCTCCCCCTCTCACCACATTCACTCGAGGAAGCGTGACGGGCTGCTGTGGAGTTGACAAGTGGTGAGCTGGAAGCACCACCAGCTGACCTGGCATGTGCCGAGTCCCCACTGCCCTCCCTTGTACCACGGGCTAGCTTCGTGCTTCTCTCCGCCGCTGCTTGCTCGCCCACATCGTCACTACTTGCTGCTACCGCCTCCCTCCCTGAACCTCTCTTCATCCCATGCACCAGCTTCCCAATGTCCAAGCTGGCAAGCTTATCCGCCACGTCAGCAGCAACGGCGGCACCTCGGTGCTCCCTGACTGAATCCTGCACGTCCAGGCTGGCAGCGGGAGTGAAGAAGTCTTCGTGGTGCTCCACCGTCCACGCCAAGTCAGAGTCCCACAGCAGCCACCCCGCCCCCGCGCGCGCCTCCGCCACGCACCCCTCCTCTGCTGCGCCCTCCGTGTCCCCGCACGCGCCCTCCTTGGCACACGGGCACTGCGGTTGGGGTGTGGGGGTTTGCGTGCACCCTGCCACAGCTGTTGGCGTAGCAGCAGGGGGAGCGGTAGCGGAGCGGGTGGCACGGGCTGGGGAGGCGACAGGAGAAGCGCACTCCGTTAATCCACACAACTCGTCCGCAGGATGCGCAACGTCAGCATCGCCATCCAAAGCCATCGTATTGAGAAATGGGAGGGCGGAGAGGGCAGCGAGGGCGGCGCCGTGGGCGGCGGACTCAAGTGAGGGGGACGGGGGAGCGGGGGCAGCGGACGCGGGGGAGCGCCACGGCACTGCGCGCAGCGCCTGCTGGGGGCGACGATGGCCGCGCCGAGGTCTCACTCTCCCTCCCGTCGCCACGTCTGCGCGCTGATCTGATTCGTCAACCACTATCTGCTGACTCCCTTCGTTAACAGAACATTTCGTTTCTGTCACCTGCTGCAGCGACTGCTGCTGCTTACGATGCGCGACCGCGGAAACCGTTAGTCCGGCGCCACCGCCAGAAGCGGCGGAGGACGCAGAGCACTCCGCTGCAAGGCCCTCCGCGCGGAAGGTCCCAGGAAGCTGCGGCGGGATGTGGGGAACGTCCCCGGAAAGTCCGAGCGGCTGCTGCGCGGCGAGGTGGCGCACCACCTTCCGCCAGTACGCGCGCGTCTTGCTGTGCTTCGTGCCCCGCGGCCCACCTGCGCAGGAGGGATGGGGGAAAGGAGGATCAATTGCGGAAGAGGTTACGACAGGAACGCAGGGAGAAACAGGTCGGGAAACCAGTTAAATCACGACAAACAGGGTATCAAGAGTACGTCAGGGCACGATACGATTAGAGTAGTGTGGTGGAAGGGGCTCGGCGCGCACCGTTGTGGAACTTGGCGAGGAGCTCCCAGTCGTGCGCGCGGATGGCGCCGGGGCAGTAGCGCAGCCAGTACCGCACCACCGTGTCCTCCGCGTGCGCCAGCTCGCGACACGCCGTCCAGCGGCCGGCACGGTGGCCCCACGCGTCGCGGTGATACTCCTCCGAGATCTGCAGCGGGCCGATGCTGCTTCCCGCGTCGCCGTCCGGGCAGTTCACCCTGCGAGGGGGCGAGGGGGCGAGGGGGCGAGGGGCGAGGGGGCGAGGGGGCGAGGGGCGAGGGGCGAGGGGCGACGGCGGCGGGGTCAGAGGGAGAAGCGCAGAATGACACGATTGGATAGACATGGGGTGGCGATCCGAGGCGCAGCTGCATAATCTACCGAGGGGCGACGGCGCGCTGCGCGGCCCTACCTGTTGCTGGACTCGATGAACCGCAGCGCGTTCAGCAACGGTCGCAGTTCCCGCTTCGCGACCTCCAGCTCCCTGTGCGGCACGCGCTGGCCGCGGTCCCACTGCACGCGGCAACCTCTAGACGCGCTGCGCAGAGCCGCGCCGCCCACAATGGACCCCTTGTCCCGCTCCGTCTCCGAGCCGAACGCCGTGCCGAGCCACACGCCGTGCCGAGCCATTACGAGGTTCGGCGGCTTGGAGGTGTCTAGGCTCGTGGCGTTTCCGCACCCCATTGGAGGAGCGATTAGCGCGAGCGGGCAAGCACAAAGATAGTGGTATGGAGAGGTGGGGAACGACAATTAGGCTGCTGCAAAAGCCCCGGTCTAGCAATGGCTGACTTGAGAGTAGAGTTTGCCTAACTACTCGCCACCAGTGGCTGGTTCAATCTCACTGAAAAGCTGCTGCTGGCAAGGACGATCGGCAGCCCCAATCAACCAGACTTACGACAAATGGATAACTGGAAAGCGTTTATGTATAACCTAAAACGACAGCAGCTCTGCGGACGCGGCGGCACATGGTTCGGAACGCAATGGGCAAAGCAGGGTTGGTCAGGTTTGGCGGGGAAGGGGTTGGTTGGTGCGAGTGAGTGTGGAGGGGAGGGCGATGGGGGGCGAATTTCCGAGAGTCGGGGGAGTGGTTTGGTGAAATGTGGCTGTGGTTGCAGCGCAAGGAGTGACGGTGACGCGTGGGGCAAGCGTAATCGTAAGCCGTTCAACGCACGAAATCTGACGGCTCCCGGCGAGATATGGTGGTCCAGAAATTGCGCAACGCCGGTCACTCTGGTTCGTGCCTCTCGGGGCCGAGAACTGCGGAGGTGCAGCCAAGAGTGCAATTCGACTCGGTAATTTCTCGAGGCCTTGGTGCGGACAAAGTGTTCCGACATCAGGCTTTCAAAGTCTCACTATAATACTGGCAAATGAAAACAAAAAAAAATTGGTTTTGCATTCAAGTATTTATCCTAGTAAATAGTTCTAATAGGCTAGTGGTTTTAATAGGCTAGTGTTTAAAATCCATCTTGACAACGGAGCCTGTCAGGTGCTAGGAGAGGAGTTTTTTTTTAACAGCATAGGGGATTTCGTACATAATCTAGTAGTGTATCAGACATTGTTCACTACAGCCAGCTGGTTGGTGGGAGGAGAGGTGATGCTTTTCCCCCATGACCTGCTGCTGTACCCGATTGACTTCCGTTCAAGTTGTCAGTGCATCAGTGATCCCGATACGAGAACGTTCGTCTCTGCGCAGCCAAGTCTTAGGTCGTTTTACCCAACCCTCGACGAACTAAATAGCGGGTGCATGGTCTGAAGTATAGTTACTGAATCCGGCGCAACCACGTGCCGTGAATCCATTCCCAATGGTCAGTGTGGCTACAGTGTTCACTGATGGTTTGAAAACCAGCAATGAGTAGTAATAGTGTTTTTTTCAATGAGTAGTAATGAGAATGGTGGCAACGAAGTCTATGTCGTGCAATCCCCTCCCCATCCACACTCTGCCTTTCCCACCCTCAGGCGAAGGCGTCGCGGGTGCTGCTGTGCCTGGTGGCGGCCTCCGTGCTCCTCGCGCTGCTGCCCTGCGCGGTTCACTCCGCCGACTCCGCCAACGTCTCAGCGGAAGAAGCGGCGGCAGCAGCGGCGGCGGAATCCGCGAGGGCGACAGCGGAGGCGGTGGCGAAAGCAGCGGAGAGCGCGGCGGCCAAGGACGAGGCCGCGGAGAAGGCGGCGGAGGAGGCGGCGACGGCGCGCGAGGGGGATAAGGGCGCGGAGGAGGAGGCGCAGAGCCCGATCCCGCCGGCGATAGCGCAGGCGGAGAAGGCGGCATCCGACATTGTGCCCGACGGTGGGGGTTGCGTTCCGCGTCGCTTAGGTTCAGGCAGCGTGCAGTGCGGGCAGTGCGGGAATTGTGCAGTGCGGGCAGTGCGGGAAGTGCGGGCAGTGCGGGAAGTGCGGGCAATGAGCGAGTGAATCCCCTCGGGACTTCATCCACGCGACTGCTCACTGGCGCCTCCCTGCATGCTGTGCATCTCTCTGTCTCACTCACATCATGAGGTCGCTCTCCCTCTCGCCCCTCCCTCGCCCCTCGTGCGCCGCTGCGCCCGCCACGCCAGGAGCGTGCAAGAAGGAGATCGCGGAGTTCTGCGGCGATCTGACGGTGGGCAATCGGACGGTGGAGAGGTGCCTGACGGGGCAGGTGCAGCTGCTCAAATCCAAGGGCGGACAAGGTGCGCCGGTCGGGGGACAGGGAGAGGTTGGGGGGAGGCGAGGGGCGAGAAGGGAGGGGAGAGGGGGACGATGGGGAGTGCGGGCTGGTTGTTGCGAGGGGATAGTGAGGGAATGGAATGGGGGTAGAGGAGAAGAAGCGTGAGGATGGCCTTTCGAGCTGCGGCGCTGTGCTCTGTGTGCCGCGCGTGTGTGCCGCGCGTGTGTGCCGCGCGTGTGTGCCGCGCGTGTGTGCCGTGCGTGTGTGCCGCGCGTGTGTGCCGCGCGTGTGTGCCGTTGCTTGCTCACAGCATGCTTGCTTACAGCCCCCCGACGCCGTGTGTCATACTGTTTGTGTGTGTCATACTGTTTGTGTGTGTCATACTGTTTGTGTGTGTGTGTGTGTGTGTGTGTGTGTGTGTGTGTGTGTGTGTGTGTGTGTGTGTGTTTGTGTGTGTGTGTGTTTGTGTGTGTGTGTCTGTGTGCACGCACGGGTGCATGTGAGCAGGGGCAGGGAGCATATCGCCCGGATGTCTACAGGAGGTATACCAGTTCAAGATAGAGCTGTACAAGAACATCTCCCTCAACAACGACATGGGTCAGTCCCTCTCCCTCTCACCCTCTCATAACGCCTCCCTCCTCCACACACCGCACTGCACCCCACACTCCACAAACCAGCCTTGGCTCTTGCCTCTCCACTCTTTCCCCCCTCATTGCCTCTCTCGCCGCTGCCCTCCCGCCCTTCGCCCCTGCGCGCACTGCCCTTTCCCCATGGATGGTAGCGGAGGCGTGCAGGGGAGACATACAGCAGTATTGCAACGACGGCTTCCTCTACCCCGAACCCGGCAACGTCCTCGCCTGCCTCAGGTGCACCGAGCCCGCATGCCTGCCTCAGGTATCATGCTCGCTGGCATGCCTCAGGTATCATGCTCGCTGGCATGCCTCAGGTATCATGCTCGCTTGCATGCCTCAGGTACCCGCTTGCATGCCCCAGGTATCATGCTCGCTGGCATCAGGTGCAAGAGGCCACAGGCCCGGTGCCATTCCAGGTGCGCCATGCCATCTCAACGTCTGCCATTCTCCCATCGTCCCTTGCTCTGCCCACCCATCTCTACTTCCCCACAACACCCCTCTCTCATCCGCCCATCCCCTCTTCCTCGCTGCACCCTCCCGCCCTCACGCTGCTCACAGGGAGACGCGGGGGGCGGGGAAGCTGTCGGACGGGTGTGGGGAGGCGGTGTTGGAGGCGGAGGAGGATGCGGCGGGGGACTTCCGCATGGACCCGCAGCTGCACGCCCTCTGCTCCAACGACGCCGCCCGCCTCTGCAAGGACGTCGCCCCGGGGGAAGGCCGCGTGCAGGACTGCTTGGTGCGTTGGGGGGGGGTAGGGCTGGGCCGTTGCGTTGCGGATAGAGGGAGTGGCTCGTGCAATCGTTAGTGTGTTACGGCTAGAGGGGGACGCGGCTTTTTTACCTGAAAGTCCTGCACCTGCCCCTACAACCTCCTACCGCGTCCTCTCCCCTCCCCCTCCGATTCACCTCCCCCCAACACGCCATGGTGAGCAGCGGCAGCACCGCAGCAGTGTGAACTGGGACTGTCAGGCGGAGCTGTTCCGCCAGGAGGTGGAGAACGCCGATGACATCCGCCTCAACGTTCGCCTCTTCAAAGGTGCCTCCTGCCCCTCGCCCCTCACTCCATCAGCCATGCCCCACACTACTCTGCCTGTCAACCCGGCTACCACACACACGCCCCTTCCTGCCAACTCCCTCCACTCACCATTCACTCCCCCCCATTCCCCTCCCCCCAATTCCTCCTGTGTGGCACACATGGGAGCAGCGTGTCTGGAGGACAAGAGGCGGTTCTGTGCGGACGTGGTGCCGGGGGATGCACGCGTGAAGGACTGCCTGGAGGCACATCGCCGTGACTCCGACTTCTCCACACCCTGGTGCGCACGTGGGGGTGCTGCATGTGTGGGCTGCCACTGTGACTGTTGCACCTGTGCAGAGCCAGCAGCGGCAATCACCGCCGCAAGAGTGTTGCGGCAATTATATCATGATGATGAGTGTTGCACCTGTGCAAGGTCTTTCCCTGTCCTCCTGCACGCGCCATCTTCCTTGGCCGTGCCATCCGTTGCTCATGGATGAGTGCACGTGTGTCATGTGTGCGTGTATGCACGCGCTCATGCATGGCTTTGTTGCTACTCTCATCCCTGTGCGTGCATGGGGGCATGGCATGGCATGGCATGGCATGGCAGCAAGGAGGAGGTGGAGAGGATGATGGAGCACCGCGCGTCGGACTTCCGCCTTGACCCCGGGCTGCGCAAGTACTGCCACCGTGACATTGTCGAGGTCAGGAGCTGGGGGGGGGGCATGGCAGGGGGTAATGGCATTGGCATGGCAGGGCATTGGGAGGGCATGGCAGCGGAATGTGAGGGCATGGCAGCGGAATGGGAGGGCATGGCAGCGGAATGGGAGGGCATGGCAGCGGAATGGGAGGGCATGGCAGCGGAATGGGAGGGCATGGCAGCGGAATGGGAGGGCATGGCAGCGGAATGGGAGGGCATGGCAGAGCAATGGAAAGGCAGCAGATGTGCCCTGGAAGTCCTCTCAGCGTTCTCAGCTGCCCCTGCCTCTCTGTCAAGCTAGTGCGCACTTCCCTTTTGCTCTTCGTCCCTATGCTGTGCCCCTTCCATTCCCTCTCGCTCCCTTCCATCCCGCCTCCTCTACCCCCAACCAGACGTGCTACCCGGATGCGGACGACATAAGCGACGTGGCATCATGGGACAGCCGTGTGATAGAGTGCCTGCAGGACTACCGGCGGGAGCTCAAGGACCCGCGGTGCCGCCAGCAAGTGCACCTGCTCACACAGCGCGCCGCTGAGGACATGCGCTTCGACCACCCTCTGCAGCAGGCCTGCCAGGGTGAGCGCTGCACTCGCGTGGGTGGGCTGTGCTCGCTACGAAGGTGCATGCTGCAGCACATGTGTCAGGGTGAGGGGCAGGGCGGGAAGAGGGGAAGAGGCGGGGTGGGTGGGACGAGAGGGGTTGATGTGGGTGGGGTTGTGCTCTCGCAGGCGATGCGGGACAATGATGGCCTCTTCCTTGCCTCCATCTGCAACCCCCCCTCCCTTGTTCGCCTCCTCAAACGCCCTCTGCCCCTCTTGCCTTGCCGCAACTGCCCTCTGCCCCTCCTTCGTCCACATCTCACCCGTTCACTCCATGCACATGCACGGTGTGCAGAGGACCGCGAGGTGGTGTGTGCGGGGGTGCCGGACGGCAACGCGCGGGTGTTCATGTGCCTGCAGGAGAACCGCCAGAAGCTCAAACCTGTCTGCCGCACCGCTCTCTTTGAGCAGGTCAGCTGCCCTCCTTTCACCCCTTCAAATCCTTGGACATCAAATCAAACGCTGCCATTGGGAACCAGAATTCATTGGTTCAGCATTCCAATTTGAGGCGGCACATGAACATGCGGACTTACATACCACGATTCGCTCCCGCCTCCCCCCCTCCCCAACCCCTACCCACCCGCCCCTCCCCCCGTTGGGCTTGGGCGAGCAGGAGATCCGGTACGCGGAGGACATCGACTTCAAGTTCCCCATGCGCCAGGCGTGCCAGGACGAGCTGCTGCGCCTCTGCAAGGACCAACACGGTGGGTGCGGGCACCGCCACGTGTAGGCAAGGAGGGCATGGGCTTCGCAGGAGAGTGGGTGCAATGTGGACAGGGAATCTTTCTCTGATGGATGGGATGGGGGGTGTCATGCACAGAGGATAGAGCGAGTAAGGAGGGGCTGAGGTGAGAGGGCAGTGCAATGCATGACATCGCATGGAGTCTGCAGGTGCGTGGTGCATGGTGAAGTGCTGCTGCTGTGTTGCCGCCTCACCTCTGCCCGTTTCCACTTATCTGTGTGGTGGTGTTGGTGGCGCCCGCCAGGTGGGGGTGACACGATAGCATGTCTACAGAAGCACGAGGAGGACGAGGACATGGGCGAGCAGTGCAAGAAGGAGGTCAAGAAGGACGAGGAGCGCAGCGCTCATGGTCAGTGAATGTGCATGCTATGCTGTGCACATGCTGCAACATTCCATCCACATGACACATCCATAGCATGCATGCCACCACATGCACATGCCATCAGACAACCCTTCACCAACCAACCAGCCTTTTCTTGACCCGTCAGCCCTTCACACCGCATCTCTCCACCCCCCCACACCTCCCTCCCCCCAACCCCACTCCCTCCTTCAGACTTCCGGCTGAACTACAAGTTGAACCGCGCATGCTTCAGTGACGTGCAGCGCCTGTGCATGCACTCGTGCGAGCCCAGGAACGACTCCTTCACCGCCGCTGCTGCCCCCTCGGGCGACCAGTGTGGCGGCCGCGTGTTGCAGTGCCTCGCGGCCAACGCGTCGCTCATCAGCAGCCCCGAGTGCAGGGAGGAGGTGGCGTACTTTGAGCGGCGCGAGGTGGGCGATATCATGCTTGACGTGCCGCTGCAGCGCGCCTGTGTGGACGACATCGGAGCGCTGTGCGGGCTGCAGCGCGACCACAGCAAGGTGCTGTCGTGCCTGCGCCAGCACCGCGCACAGCTGAAGCCGGAGTGCCGGGACGAGGAGCTGAGGTTCTCAGCCATGGAGGCATCGGACATCCGCCTCACGCCCTCGCTCATGAACGCCTGTGGGCTCGAGCTACATGCCTTCTGCCGCGGCGTGCCGCCCAGCGAGGGCAAGGCGTTCCGCTGCCTGCAGACCAGCCTGGGCCAGGTGAGGTGGTGTGATGGCAGCAGGTGATGCTGTGCAGCTCATGCTGGCACAGCAGCGGATGCAGTGGTGCCACCACCTCTCTCTTGTGTCCGCACCACTGCCTTTCTGCCACCACCGCTGCTCTTGCTGTGGCAGTTTCACTTGCTTCGTAATTCCGATCGCCTCTCCCTGTTCATTCGTTGGTCACTTCCCCCTGCCCATGCTGCCGTTTCCAGGAGAGCATGGGGGTGGCGTGTCGCTCTGAGGTGGCACTGCAGACGGTGCGCGAGTCACAGTTCTACCTTGCTGACGTGGCGCTGGCGCTGCAGTGCCAGGTGGACATTGCCAAGACATGCAGCGCGGCGGCCAACAGCACGGCGGACGGCGACGGGGAGGTGATAGCGTGCCTGGTGCAGCACTACGATGGGCTTTCGGGGAAATGCCAGACCGAGGTGCGGTGGGGGGAGAGAGAGCGAGCGAGATGCCATGGGTTACTTACAGGAGGTGAATCAGTGAGGAGATGGGGTGAGGATTGTGTGTACCCGCTGTTCTCTCAAAGCTGTGGGAGGAACATCAGCTCACAATTCCGCCTCGCCTCCATCTCCCCTCCCTTGCCCCCAATTCTGCTGCGTCTCTTTGCGGGTGCATGTGGTGTGTTGGTGCAGGTGGCATACCTGGTGCGCATGGCGCTGTGGGTGTACCACCCCGCCAACAACCTCACCATGCCGTGCGCAGCTGACGTCGCCGCCCTCTGCCCCAACGCCACCTCCACCAGCTCTGCCTTGCATGCGGCGGCGGGAGTGGTGGTGGCGGCGGTGGGGCAGTGCCTGGTGGACCAGCCCTTGGCCAAGCTGAGCAGCGAGTCGTGCCGTCAGCTGGTCGCCGTGGTGGGCGTGGCGGGCGCACATGTGGGCGGGGTCGTGGATGAGGCCCGCCTCGAAGCCACTCTCGCTGAGATTGCTCAGGTGATGAGGCTGGTGCAGGTGACGCTGGTGCAGGTTGCACAGATTGCACAGGTGATGTTGGCACGGCCCGCACGGGTTGCAAAGACGCTCTGACCAGTGGACGTGAGGTGAGGTGGCATTCACCCCATTACGCTCTGCCATGTGCTGCATGCCACTTGCAAGTCATCACATTGTGTCTGTGAGCGTCTGCATCATCCCAGCTCCTGGTACTATCATTTCTGCCTCACTGTCCCACCTCGCCATTGCTCCCCACCTTTGCCCCTTCCTCTCTTCTCCACGCCCGCACTTGCATTTCTCCTGTACTGCCCAATGCTCTGAACGTGCAGCTGGGGGCGTTGGAGCAGCAGCAGCAACAGGGGGAGGCGGGCAGCGTAGTGCTGACGGGGTGGACGGCGCTGCTGGCAGTGCTGGCGCTCTCCATGCTGCTTATTGGTGCTGGCATCTATGCTCACCACCACTTCTTCAGCCCCACACGTGACTACAGCTTAGTTGTGCAGGAGGGAGGTGTCAAGGAGGGGGATGTGTGAAGCTCCTTTCAGTTCAGATAAGCTTATACTATTGCAATAGCCTGTCAGCTGTGTTTCTGTCCTTGGGACTGCTTGTTTCCCTGTTTCCCGTGTCAAGGTGGCCTGGTGGTAAGTATGACAACAATCCGTAGGAGTACAAATGTCACTATAATCAAACCAGTAACACTAGTAATAGGCAGCAATCAACACTGAATTACTGCCTGATACAGTATCACACAATCAATGCAAGTCTGTACGGCTTTCAGGCACCAAGCGGTGCCTGGGAAACGAAGCAGAGCTTCAGAAGTACTCAAAGCAGGTAGGCCAGCAAAACAGTTTAGAGATGCAAGCAAGGCACTCAGGGATGAGGGTTGGCCGCTGGCTGTGCCGGCTCGAGACATGGGCAATAAGGCAGAGAGGCAGAGCTCCCTGACCCAAATGGACAATGGTGGAAGCATGGTTCAGATCATGGGGGTGGCAGTGCCGGGTGCAGCAGCACAAGGCCCCTGTGGGTGGTGTGGTGAGCGGGTTACTCGTCGTAGGTGCGGCACTCATCAGTGTCGGGGTTCTCCTCGCAGTACTCAATGAGAGGGTCCTCGTAGTCTGCCGGGCCGTACACCACCGCCGTGCGCGACGGCGCATACACCTGGAACGAGTGCGGCCTCCCGTCATGCCACCCCTCCTGCATTGCATAGCCATCCAGGGCCACAGTCAGTTAACCAGTCAATGCACACACACACAGATGAGCCAAGAGAGGGGCTGGGTCGAGAGGGAAGAGACAAACAGGAGGGACCAACAGAAGCGAGGGAAGGCAGGGGTGGGTGGAGCAGACGACTGGCCAGCTCCAAGGGTGAGAAGGGATGGAAGAAACATGTTGAGGGGAGGAGGGGAAAATGGAGGCTTGGGCAGCGAAACAGAGAGCGAGGGGGCAGGGGGCAGGGGGCAGGGGGCATACATTGGAGTAGAAGGCGGCGTTGTGGTCGATGCGGTTGTAGCCCCCAAAGCGCCCCTCATCCGAGTCCAGCACCACCTGTGGCGCGGGCAGGCAGGCAAGGGGGTGGCAGGCACAGGGGTGGCAGGCACAGGGGTGGCAGGCAAAGGGGGTGACAGACATAAAGAAGCAGGTGGGTGTGTGGGCACAGGGTGGTGACAAGCAGAGCGGGGAGAGCAGGCAGCGATCTAGGCAGACACACGTTGAAGCAGACACACGTTGAAGCAGGCAGCACGGGCGGGGGGGGGGAAGAAGAGAAGGAATGGAAGACTCGTGCAGAAAGCAAGAAGGGAGGAATGACAGGCAGGATGAGGGTCGGGTGGGGGCGCGGCGGCGGTGACTGACCTTGTACTTGCCGGGTTTGTTGCAGCCGATGCGGTAGTCGGTGTAGGAGTTCTGCCAGTGCAGGTTGAAGACAAACACCAGGTCGCCGCGCTCAAACACGATCAGCTTGTCGCCCTCGTCCTTGCGCGACACGTACTGGTGCTCTGATGAGATGAACTGGTAGCCAGGGAAAGGGGGAGAAAGAAGCAGGGGCAAGGGACCAGGTGAGATGGACTGCCAAAAAGAGGTGGCTTTTGAATTGGCATCGCATTTCCTCCACACCCTGCCCACTGCACCTTGTGCCTCTCCTTCCCCACCCTACCTAGCACCTCTCCTCGCCTCACGTACCACCTCTTCCCCCCTTCCCCCTTTGGCACCTTGTAGGTCTCTTCGAGCTGCTGCATGGCCTGGTCGAAGTCGTTGAGCCCCTTGTAGCGCAGGTACGTGGCGTCCGCCAGGTCAAAGCGGCGCCGGCACAGGTGGTAGCTGCCGCCGTTGCCCGGGATGAACTTGCCCGCCGGGGTCGTGAAGTCCCACCGCGGGAAGTCAATCCACTCTGCACAGCCCACACCATGCCATGCCATGCCACGCCGCGCCATGCCATGCCAAGTTGCATACACGCATGCATACAAGCCATATCATAAAAGAAGCCAGTGAGGGACGAATATCATATTACCCAGAGCAAACGTTTTTTGCAGTTGTAACATCATGTTCAAGCAGCAGCCCTCTGCATTCCCACCAACTTGATTTCTTGAAGGACACATACCCCTACCTCCTACACTGTGCGGGCAGCGTACCAGGGTGGCCGAACTCGTTGCCCATAAAGTTGAGGTAGCCCTCGCCGCCCAGCGCCATGGTGATGAGCCGAATCATCTTGTGCAGCGCAATGCCGCGGTCCACGCGCGGAGTGGAGGGCCCATCGAGGGCCATGAAGTCGTACATGTCCTTGTCCATGAGCCAGAACGCAATGGTCTTGTCGCCCACCAGCGCCTGGTCGTGGCTCTCCGCATACGCAATCGACTTCTCCATCCACCGCCGGTTGGTCAGCGTGTGCACTATGTCACCCATCTGCCACTGCTCGTCTGATTGCCTGTGAACGGGGCACAGCAGCAGCAGTGAGCGCAGCAGTGCGGAAAGCAGGGGGAGGGGCATATTGTGAGAAGGCAGAGTAAGTTGGGGCATGTGCGAAGGAGTGTTCGAGATGCACCGCTGCGCATATGAGGTGTGGCAGGAGGGGTGAGGGGTGAGAGGAAGGCACCGTGTACATGAGCCACGGGACAAAGAGACTCAAGACTGGGACTCACTCGGAGAGCAGCTCGATCCACTTGTCAGCGATGGCCATCTGCAGGCGGTAGTCAAAGCCCACGCCGCCCCACGCCACGGGCTGGCACAGCGTGGGCATGCCGCTGACATCCTCAGCGATGGTGACGCAGTCGGGGTAGAGCCCGTGCATCATGTCGTTCGCCACCATCAGGTATGCCATTGCCTCCACGTCCGTGGCGAACCCAAAGTACTCCTCGTAGTTGCCTGTGAACGCCATCTGTGAGGGGGGAGGAAGGGGGTAAGTGAGAAGTGAAGTGGGTGAGTGGCAACATAGCTGATGGAGGAACAGAGTGGAAGAAAAAGACACCATGTCCGTGGGATATGGTCCGTGGTGCACAGTTTTTAAGGCATGGAGCATGTTTCATGGGACATGATGGTGCATGATGTGGATGAGGTATGCAGCGTGATGCATGGCGCATGGCGCACAAGGCATGGTGCATGAGGCACGGAGCACACACCTGCAGCCCATGGTGCGTGTACATCATGGAGGTGACGCCATCGAAGCGGAAGCCGTCGAACTTGTACTCTTCGAGCCACCAGCGCAGGTTGGAGAGCAGGAAGCGCACCACCTCCCAGTGGCCGTAGTTGAAGAGGCGCGAGTCCCACATCCAGTGGTACCCGCGCTCGCCCGAGTGGAAGTACTGCCCGTCCGTGCCATCAAACATGTTCAGCCCGTCCAACACGTTGTTCGACGCGTGGCTGCGCAACCACATTGTGCCGGTGCCGGTGCCGGCGGAGGGGGAAGAGGGGAGGGGGAAAAGTGAGAGGGAGGAGGACGTGCGAATTCATGCCAGAAACACGTCCGTTCGTTCACGTCCGTTCAGTCTGGCTGCTTCACATGCGGTTGAGGAGGAAGAGGGGCGGAGCGGAGAGGGCGAGAGAGTGCGAACAGAGGCAGTGCCCAACAAGGGTGGGGTGCACCGGCAAGCTGTATGTGGTGATGCGCGTGCGCACAGGCATGACTGCACGTGCACTCGCGCACACCCACGTCCCCGCTCCCTCTTGCATGTCAACCGTCCCGTAACCTGCCTGTGCACACGGGGCACACCACCATGCCCCGCCCACCTGCATGCGCAGTGCGCCATCCCAATCAGACTGCCTGTGCGCGCAGTAAACAACCCAACCCCCCGGCCACCTGTGCGGCCCACCCACCTGTGCACGCAGTCCATGAGCACGACGATGCCCATGCCGTGCGCCGCGTCAATGAGGCTCTTGAGCTCGTCGGGCGTGCCGCACCGGCTGCTCACCGCGAAGAAGTTGGTCACGTGGTACCTGCGCCGGGGGGGGTTGTGAAGGGAGAGTCGCGCGGATGCCGGCGGGCGACGCAGAGGAAGGGATGATATGAGGGATAGGGGGATGCGATGGCGTGGAACAAGCAGAGCAGAGGAGCAATGAGGTGGAAAAGGGCGGGAGGGACAGCTGCAGTGAGAGCGGGGCAACAGAACCGAACGAGCCGTTAAACGCGTGAAAGGGAAGCGGACGAAAAGGGAATGGGGGACGGACCCGAAGGAGCCGTAGTAGGCGTGTTCCTGGATGGCCATGAGCTGGATGGCGTTGTACCCCAGATCGCGCACGCGCGGCAGCACGTTGTCGCGGAACTCCGCGTACGTGCTCACTCGCGGCTCCTGTTAGCGCACGACACATTAACGCGGATGAGTCAAACATTGAAGTGGCAGGAAGGAGAGTCGGCAGGCGAGTGCCGAGGAGGCATAGGTGAACCGCGGGAGCTGGCGCAGAGAGGGGGAGGGGCGGAAAGGACGAGCGGAAAGCAGCGGAAGAACGCGGAATAGCAGGCGCGGAAGAAGGGCTACCGCGGGAAGAAGAGGGGGGGGGGATGGGGGACGTACAGTGCTGCTCATGCCCACGTGCGCCTCGTAGATGCGCAACGCTCTGGGTCGCTTGGGGCGTGCGTTCTTCCACACGTGGCGCTCCTGCGGGTGGGCGCACGGGCGGAACGAGGACACGCACGGTGGACGAACAGTCAGGCACGGTGAAAGGCCGCTGGAGTAGTGAGCAAGCAGCGCATGGTCAGAGAGTCAGATGCAGATGCATTGAGAAGATGGCGCGTCCATGACGGGAGGAACTCGCATGGAAATGGAGGTGAGGCGTGGCGCGGCGGCGCACCTGCGGCGGCGGGTCGTAGTAGATGCCGTTGTAGGGGATCTCGCCGGGCGCCTGCACGGCGAACTTGATCCACGCGGGGATCGCGTCCTTCCACCCCGACGGCGTGTCCATGTGGATCTGAATGCCACGTCATGCACAACAAATCCACGTGACATCACACCAGAAAGACACTGAGACCCCACACAGGCAGGCTATACTGAGTGCACACTAGTAAAGCCATTGTTAATCTGCACGGCGCATGTGCATCGCAACGCCGTGTACAAGCCATTGCTATGCTTTCGTTGTTTCCGCCGGCGGCTGTTCGTGCGCTAGTGCCAACATTCTCTATAAGAGAGTTTCTGGCTGACGTGTGCAGCGTTGTTAACCATATGTGATCCACATCAGCCTCTCATACAGTCACTCAGCCACCATGATACCTGGAGCGCGCGCGCGGAGCACAGACTGACCTTGACGCGGGAACCATGGGGAATGGCGGGGGTGCCATCGGGGTTGTCGGGCAGGAAGAGCTCCCACACGCCGAACTCGTCCTGCCACACGCAATCGCGCACAAGCACCCACACGAGACCGACACTCAAGAACCGTTACTATTTCGTCAAATGGAAGCGACGAGTGTTGACAGCACAGGGCTGAGCGGCGGGCGCGGACCTTTTTCATGATGTCGGCGTTGGGATTCCAGTTGTTGAAGTCGCCGATCAGCGACGCCGACTGCACCACGCAACCACAGCCACAAGCACACCGTCGTGAGATGAAATGAGTAAAAGAATAAAAAACGTCAACCAGGACCCGGAAAGCTTTCATTCAACTTACATAAGCGCCAGGAGCCCACTCGCGGTACACGATGCCGTTGTGCCTGCGCGGATTAAACGGGAAGCGCAATGTCATTCAAGACGAACAAAGAATCAAAGCGGTTGATTCGAGGCAGGAAACGGCGAAGCGATGCGCGAGAGCGGGCGCTTACACTCGGTTGAAGCCGAACTTCTCGTAGCCGCGAGAGAACTTCTCCAGCCCGCCCTCGTGCTGGTCGATCTCCCACCGCAGCTTCTTGTACTGCCCGAAGCTGCGCACGGAGAGACACGTGGCGTTGCAGGTGGAATGTAAACGGGAGCGACAGCAGTGAGCCCTACTTGCGCATTTCACGCCGGACAAATAAAAATAACAATGAAAGGAAAGGAACCGCCTTGCGTCACTCCGTACGACCCCTGGCTGCGGTAAGTTCCGGAAGTCGAGGTGAATCACGCAGTGCCAACTGGCACTATCGAGGGTACATGCGGTGTGACTATCGAGGTAGATGCGGTGCGTACCGGTACTATCAAGGTAGACGCGGTGCCTACCGGTACTATAAAGGTAGACGCGGTGCCTACCGTTACTATCAAGGTAGATGCGGTGGCTACCGGTACTATCAAAGTAGATGCCGTGCCTACCGGTACTATCAAGGTAGATGCGGTGCCTACCGGTACTATCAAGGTAGATGCGGTGCGTACCGGTACTCGAGGTGAATGCGGTGCGCGTTGAGGTACTCGTCGGTGTCGAAGATCCTCTTGCCCTCGCCCGGCGGCGGAACCACCTTGGGGCCCTCCTGCGTGAAGATCATCTGCTCCCGCAGCTTCGCATTCTCCTCCCGCAGCGCCTGCGACACGCCGACACGAAGAAAACTCCATGGTCAGTGCATCAGCTGAAACAGTGGAATCCGCTTACATTTCTTTTTTTTTTTTTTGTTTAACGTAAGCCAACGGATGTCCAAGGTGAGAGTTTGACGGCTCAGACGAGCTGGCGCACCTTAATCTGCGCTTCAATAACTTCCGCCTCCGCCTCCAGGTCCCCCACTGCCAGCTCCGCGCCCCCGTCCTTCGCGGCCTCTGCGGCCACGCGGAGCCGGCGGCTGCTGTCATCAGTCCATGTCAGCTTCGCCTGACGATGCCGCGAGGCCCTTTGCCTGAGCGGCAATCGCGCGGGAATCTGACAAATTCTGGCATTGCCTGCAAAGAGAAACGAGGGATCTGAGTGAGATAAAGAAAAGAATGTGCTGCTATTGAGCTTGATTGTTTGCGATCACGAAAAAATGGTAACTTCGTAAAAAGGCCACACCTCCAAGGAAGGGGCTCCGGCTTGAAGTAATTTTATGGCCTGATAGAAGCCGAGAAGCCGACGGCGCGGAGACGGTGGTCGTCGCCATGGCTGCACAGCTTGAGATTCAAAATGAATTTCACCTAATGCTGCCTTGAGTACATTCCGAAGGCCAGCCAGGAAAAGGGTGAGAGGGTGCGGTGGTAGGCGGAGCCAGGCAAGGCGGAGCCAGGCCAATGAAAGGAGTGTAGGTTGGGCAGAGCGGAGATTGGGCTGTGGCGAGTGCGCATTGCGCTTCCAGCTTCGTAACGCAGGTCCGCAAACATCCTTCCGAACCCACCCAACTCATGTGGCTCCAAGACCACCAAGGGCTTGCCACGTCAGATGCGGGCTAAGCATCAAGCAACCTCCCATTTCAATCTTGAAGGGCTGTGCTGTGAGTCGTGACTCGGTATCGAGCCAAAATACCTGTGGAAGCAAAACAGCTGCTTTTGCTAGGTGCCGAAACACTTGGGTGACAGGATGTGAGGCTGGACTCATTTATCCCACCACCACCACAACTAGAGACCAGTTGAGGGTACACATGAAGCACCACTCATCCTCGAATTCATCCGTTTCCATCTGCCCGAAATATCAGATCCACAAAAGGATCCCTCCTGCCTTCAAAATCTTCAGAACAACGTAAAAAAGCAAGAGCATAACGTAGTTGTACCAATGCGATTGCGACATCAAGGCAGGAGAACATGCCAGGCTGGCCGGAGTGAGTTCTGGCCCGAAACAAGCTTGTGTAGTGAGTGTTTCGTTACGGGCATCTGATATACATGGAAATTTGCTGGCCACCATTATACCGTTATGGATCTACATCATATTTTTTTCAGATTGTAGGTCTTTGTGACCAGGCCCCACGTTATCAGGGCAAAACATCCTGATTACCCTGAATTCAGGATGCAGTTTTGAATTTACCCTGTCATTTCGGAATAGTGTAAATTTTAACCCTGAGGTCTCATGATGTTTTTATATGAAATGCCCTGAACATTCAGAATGGCTGTAGTGTTCTTCTCTGTAGCGTCAGGATGAATGCCGAGGCCTGCCCTGACGCGTTTTTTAGTTGGGACAAAGCGCTCATTCAATCATTTAAATATCCAGAAGTGTGCTATTCAGTGGAATGGTATTCCCGATAGATGAGGTCCTGGGATCAAACCCACCCCCGTGCAAGCGTATCTATAGCTTTAACTATAACTTGCCAACCAACTAATCTGAACCCTGAACACTTGTATGTTTGCCCTGACAGGCCAGGATATTTTTTTGTAGAAGCCCTGATATAACAGGAAGCCTCCGAAAATTTGCCCTGACAAATCAGGGCATTTTTCCAGATTCTGGAAAGTTGCCCTGAGGCCTCAGGATGCCCCAAAACCTAGCACAGGCCCTGTTTGTGACAGCATAAGCATGTGATAAGCTATGTTACGAGTGCAATTGAGTGAACGAACGAGAATTGCACGATCGAAGCAAGAGTACAATGAGCGAAGGCATGTGCGAAGAATATATAGCGAAACTACAGTGGTAACGGTAATGGACTGTGGTTGTCGCGCGACGGGCCTGGGACTGAGGTTGGGAAAAGTGTCAAAGCGGAGGCCCGGAGCGCGGGTTACCCGCCGAGCCGTGAGGTCGGGGTGCGACGTGCGAAAGTGGCGGGCGGATTGTCGATGCGAGGATTGCGAGTGGTAACGGTGCTGACTGTGGTGCTACAGTGATGTACGCGTTCAGTAGGGATGCGAAGTAAGGAAAAGGAATTTTCCTTACACTACCCCCCCTCCCAAGGAGGTCCTCCTTACAAAAGTGCGTGTACATCCCTGAAGTTTCGGCTGTGCAGATACTCGGTGAGGACGTGGTGATTTTCAATTCTGTCCAGGGGAACCCAATTGTCTTCGGTGGGTGTACGGTCTTTCCAGCGGAGTAGGAACTCGATCCTTCGGGCTCCTCGAGGGTCACGAACTCTGTGGCTCAGGATTTTGTCGGGGGTGATGATAGGTTCAGTCGGCGGTCGTGTCATGCTGACTGGGCGATTCCGTGGGAGTTGGCTTGTGGACGGGACGTAGGGGCGAAGCAGGCTGACGTGGAACGAGGGGCTGACGTACCAGTCAGCAGGGAGGAGGAGGTGGGCGGTGACGGGCGTTATCATGTGGCTTATGCGAAATGGCCCGCAGTATCGGGGGCGGAGTTTTGGGGTTATGGGCAGTCGGAGGTTCTGAGTGTCGAGTAAAACTAGGTTGTCGGGCTGGTAAGTGACAGGTTTGCGGTGGCGGTCGGCGTTGCGTTTAGCGATGATGTTCGATTTTTTTATTCCGTCTGCTGCCCTGGTCCGTGCTGCTTGCAAAATTTCGGCGAACAATTGCGCGCGCGGAACCGGGTTGTCGGGATTCGGGGTCATGGGTACTGTTGGGTCTTGTCCGTAATTCAGGTAAAACGGTGACTGTCGGGTCGTGGTGGATGGGGCGTTGTTGTATGCGAATTCGATGAGTGGCAGTTGCTGTTCCCACGTGTTTGGGTCGTCACACGTGGCCCTGATGAGTTGTTCCATGGTCTGATTTGTCCGTTCTGTATGTCCGTCGGTTTCGGGGTGGTAAGATGAACTAAACTGTAGTCGCGTGCCGAACTGCTGCCACAGGTTCCGCCAGAAGTTGCTGGTGAATTTCGTGTCTCTGTCGGTGATGATTGATGCTGGTATCCCGTGCAGTCGAACGACGGTTGTCACAGGATCGAATTCTCAATCGAAACTTGTCACTAAAACTGAATACAAGGCATTTTTATACTCGGAAAATACAAGGATAAACGAGATAAAACGAACCTTCGGGAACACGCCCTTCCCGATACTACAATCACAAGTGTGCACAAGCACGCAAGGCTATTGGCACTTGGGATTACGGCCAGATTACACCGTATACACCACTGTCGGCGCTGTCGGTGCCGTATAATAGGTATGTCGGTGGGAAAAGTAGGAAATAAGAGAAATAAATAGAAGGCTCTAGAAAATAGAATAGTAGGCCGATTGAGATGAGATAAAGACCAAAATAAAGAGGAGAAAAGGGAGAATAGGATAACAGAAAAATATAATAGTGAGAAAATATTATAACAGGGACGTCCTCCCACACTTCCCCCCCTCAAAGCTGGGTGGTAGAAGTAACACCCTGCTTGACAAGGTAGTCCTGGAGAGGATGGCGGGCGTTATCCATGTCGTGTTCAGGTACCCAGGTATCCTCGGAAGGATCATAGCCTTTCCAACGAATCAAGAGCTCCAAGGTGCCGCTACGTCGTCGTCGGTGCGCTAGAACGGCTTCGACTTCGTACTCGGGTTCCCCATTAACGATCACTGGCAGTGGCGGCGGCGGCTGGCGACCTTTGAAGACCGTGTTTGGGTCCCGATAGGGCCTGAGAAGTTGAACATGGAAGGCATTGTGAATTCTCCAGGTAGCTGGTCAACGCAAGCGGAAGGTTACTGGAGTGACCTACGCCTCGACGAGAAAAGGTCCGCAGAAGCGAGGTGGGAGCTTAGACGGAAGATGGCTAATGTCGAGATTGCGTGTATCCAGAAGCACTTGGTCGCCAATCTTGATGGAATGATCGTTGCGACTCTGATCAGCGAGCTTCTTTTGTTGCTGCTGGATAGTCAGAAGCCGTTTATGCGTGCGCTCCCACAATTGGTGCATAGTGGTAATGAAGTCATGTGCGGGTTGTGAAAGTTTAAAGAGAGAAAGAGGACTGCACTAGCAAGAATGGGGATACAAATAGGAAACCCTAGAAGGGTTGTACTCGCTATAGAGCACCCCACTACAGGCTAGAGCATAAGATAACATTCTGACACACCCCCATAGCCAAAGTGGGGTGTAATCAGCAGAGCAAGCAAAGCAGTACAAACTCAGGGTGGATCACAATGTCACCACACATTCTGAGCACAAGTTCAAGAAGCAATAGTTTAAAGTTAACAATTATGAGCAAAGCTAGTGGTAGTCACAACGGGCAAGTGAGGAGGAAGAGAGAGAGTGAGAGGAGAGGAGATAGGAGGCGACGGATGAAGCTGCAGACACACGGGCAACAGGAGGCACACTGGCACAGCGGCTACCGGAACAACGCTCCGGAATACTGGAGTAACTGGCCCCGCGGCTGAAGTAGCGGCAGACGAGCAACGGACCCACGGGCGGCTGGCACAGCTGGCTACGACTGGGCTACCGGACGAAGTCCCCGGAATACAGGTGCTGCTGGCGACACGACGGCAACCTCCATTCAGCTTCCCCAAACTATCCCACTCCCCCTGGCACACACCCACTGCTACACCGCTAGCTCCACTCCCACGCACCCCCCTTAAACCCTAAACCCCAGTCTCCCACTCATCCACCCCCCTCAGCGACAGCTGCAGCAGTGGGAGACGAAGGAGGAGGAGGAGCAAAGGGAGGAATGCACAACTGCCACCCCCACACTCGCCACCCCCTACTCGCCACCCCCCAGGTGCGGCCCCCTCAGGTCGCCTCGACAGGCGACGGGAAAAGGAGGGGGGGGGGGGGGGGGTGCACATGCCGTAGGTAGGGCGACGGGGCCGGGGTCGCAGGTAGGGCAACGGGGCCGGGGCCGGGGCGCTGGTAGGGCGACGGGGCTAGGGCCGGGGCCGCAGGTATGGTGACGGGACCGGGGTCGCAGGTGGCGCGACGGGGCCGGGGTCGCAGGCAGGGCGACGGGGCCGGGGCCGTAGGTAGGGCGACGGGGTGCGACGCGCGGGTCCCCGTCGCCCGTCGCAGCGCCTCCCGGGGGGGGCGCGCCGAGTGACGGGGCAGAAACCCGTCGCGCGCCTCGGGGCGCACGGCGGGCAGAAAACCGCCGCGCGCCTCGGGGCGCACGGCGGGCAGAAAACCGCCGCGCGCCTCGGGGCGCACGGCGGGCAGAGAACCGCCGCGCGCCTCGGGGCGCACGGCGGGAAGAAAAACTGCCGCACGCCACGGGGCGTGCGGCAGAGAGAGTAGCAGTAGTAGTTGCAGCGGAAGCAACGAGGTGGTGAGCCCACCCACAGGATCGATCCAAGGGGATCGACCTGCTCTGATAGCATTTGAAAATATTGAAGAGAGAAAGAGGACTGCACTAGCAAGAATGGGGATACAAATAGGAAACCCTAGGAGGGTTGTACTCGCTATAGAGCACCCCACTACAGGCTAGAGCATAAGATAACATTCTGACACGGGTTGCACCGTGGCGGGTACTGTTGGTTTTTGAGGCGTGAGTGGGTTGCGACCGTAACAGAGGAAGA